ATGTTCGTGTCTAGAACATAACTAATTCAAACAAAAGCATAAAAATCTATTTTAGATAAAAGAACCAATATCAATTTAAATTTTCTCGTTGTATCTATCATTACTTAAAAAGAATGTCGTTGCATGTAACACATACATTTTTGATTAATACAGTTTAGTTTTGAAAAATATCGCTTTCATAAATTTGTTCACAATGAACAAACAGCAATTTTAAATTTATCGCTACATGAACGATTAAGTTATGACAAAAAGACACGACTACTAATCATATTGAAATAAATATATTTCATTTTGACGTCTGATTTTGTCGTATTTGTTCCAAAAAGAATTTTGCCATCTGACACTTTGAATAAAAGTTAAGAAGTTTGGTATTTATTCATTCCATTTCTAATGTTATGTATTCATTCATACTTTAATTGCTTTTCAGTAAAACTTCTCTTCACGTTGTTCATGGCTCGTTTGAGTTGAGTCAATGTTCTTCCCTCTCTGTATTCAAAATTTTATCTTCTTGAACAAACTTCTATTCAAGACAAATGCTTTAAATGTTCAAAGAGTTAGGAATTTACAGCTCGAAAAATAATTTTCTGGGGAAGTTTATTGTGCTTTGTAAACTTTGGAGAAAATTGTGAGATTGGTTGAAAGGAAATCTTATTTAATATGAAATACATATTTTGAATTGTAAATTTAAAGTTAAGAAAAAAAGAATGGATAAGGAATTATTTATTACTTGATTTGAAAATTTATGCATTACTCGTATTTTCATTTTTAGTTTTTTTTATCATTTAACTGCAAGTAAATATTTTTTCTTCAGTTTGCTAGCAAAATTATGCAATAAACAATTTGGATATTAATTTGAAACATACAATTTAAAAATTTTTAGGTCAGTAATTCTTACTTTTATATAACTTAGGCTTGTAAATAAAATTTGCCTCTTAAAGTGCAAAGGCTTTATTTAGTGCAATAATTTATGAATAAATAAATGCTACGAATGTAATAAATATTATTTTATGTTGTGAGTTTTGTGAGTTTTATAAAAATGTTGTGAGTTTTATAAAAAAGTTTTATGCTCAAAATAAAACAGTGAACTCCCTGAATAACTTTTCGATCTAATGATCGAATTTTCAAGATCTAAGATTTAAACTTAATGTTTAGAGAGCCTAATCTTAAATACTCTAATTTAGGCAGACACTATTTTAAGTTAAGAAATCTGACACAAAAGCATATTTTCTCTTAATAAACAGGCCTTTTATTACAGCGAATTTTAATTTTTCACTCTCAGGCTCTGGAGGTAGAACCTATATAAAAAATATTGTCCCAATAGCTTAGGTAGGGTAACAGTCTCAATTTCGAGTCCCTAATGTTGCGTTCACTTATTGCTCATTTCAACATCTAAAGGGTCTTATTTCTAAATTTTATTTGTCAAGAACTAATTAAATGGAATTTCTCCAAATTTCGGATTTTGCAGGATTAAAATTACGTAGATAAACTTAAGAGTTAAAAATTTGTTTACACTAAAGTCCAAAATTTCTTCTACCACTAGAAATTAAATAATAAGAAAATGTATATAATTATAAAAAAATAATTTTACAAGGAATTGTATTTGGATGAAAAAATTTTATACTTGCGTACAGAAATTTGTTAATTCGCTTTATTATTTCTTGCCCATATATTATTTCTCGCACATACTTCATTGTAGATATTTTCGAATATATGGAGAAAAAGCTAAATCGAATCGAATCTATGATAAAATGAAAACAATTATTTTATATCCAAAATTTTGATTGGCCTCTTTTCAGCTCTGTTGGGACTATATTTCCCAGATTACGGCTATGCAAGAATCAAAACTTGTCACAAAAGGCATGCTTCTTAAATGAAAATACGTTTGTGTGTCCGATTAACGTAACTTTAAATATCGTCTTCTTAAATTAATTAGTCTAATAAAAGTTATTTAAATATTAATGAATTTTTTTACAAAATGCTCAACTCTATTTTACAGCTTCTGTATATTATTCATACCAACGGCATGATTGAGCTATGTGGTCAGTATTGTGTTCTGGTCATCTTTATTTCTTACACAATTTCACTTTCATATTCTCGAGCTGATTGGAATTTAAGTCAAAATCGGAAATCAAACCCCGGTCCCTTATAATATCAACTCTGTGTACAATGCCAAAATTATTTCCATCTCAGACTCATCAGCTCATCTTGATGCCCTAGAATCTTGTTCTATTCATACAAATTCTAATTCCCATGTTAACGACATTTGTTCCTTACTTTCTCTCCATAGCGCATGGAAATGCGTTTTACCCTAATTTTGCCCCTCTCAGCCACTATGATCTTTATTTTCTCTACTGTGGTTTTCTAGTTTTGTTTCTCGTCTTTATTTTTCCATTTTTCGTTATCACCTTTGCATTTTATATTTCAAATGACTTGTTTCCTCTCATTCACGTCTGCCAAGTCTTGAAAATGGGCGCCTATTTTTGAAGCGCTTGAAACATGTCGACTATTATATCCTGTTTGTATAATTTTGAAGTGGAAATGAAAGAAGGTTTGAATTAAGGAACAACTTGGTGCCCTGGAGTCAGAAAGTGTATAGATAGACTAGCAATAATTTTATTTGACTTAAATTATTTTTAAGTATTCATTTACTTAAAATTTTTTCACAGCCTTCAAGTTTCGAGCTTTGGTACATAATAAAACATTTTTTGTTTTCACATTAGACTGAAATTTTTTTGGGATGTTAAAAAGTGTATTTGTTTAATTATTCATTAACTAATGTACTTGAAGTTCAGGATTTATTAATGCAACTATCAGAACAATATTTTCATAGAATCTGAAATAGATTTAGATTTTAAGCTTTTTTTTGTTTTTTTTCTTCTGTCATTCTGTATTGTAACTCTAAGGTTTACGTATTTTTCCAGTTTAATAGTAATAAGAAAACGATTTGAGACGGGATTTAAGCGCTTTTCTTATTCAATTCTTTACATCTGAATAATCATTTATTAGAAAAATAAAATTCAGGCATTAATGAGTTAAAAAGAGCTCTTTTAATTTCAAATTTTAATTTTTATATTTTCCTCTGAAATGTCATTTTTTTATAAAAATCTGATCGCTTTAAAAGAAAATTTTATTACTTTTCATCCAAGCGATTGGTTGTGTTGCAAATCTTAATAAACAATGTAATAGGAAACTAAAGAAATAGCACTTATTTTCCTCAATTGTTTAACTGATTTCGAAATTCTCTGTTTGCAAGCACAAAGAATTATTGCATAGAACAGCTACCTTTTGAAATATTTTCACTATTTTTAACTCTTTACTAAAAACGGTCGGTTTTATGAAGCAGCACACTATCAATGTTTATTGGCTCTTTTCCAAAATGATTTGAAGAGCGTGACCTGATTTCAGTAAAATAAAATTCACTTTTTAACAATCCGTATGGTATAGTACTTAGTCATTTTCTTTTAATTTCAAACTTTATACCCGAGTTTTTTTAATAAGTATTTTGTTAATGTAAATATTACTTACAGGGGTTGGACAAAATAATGGAAATACTGCCATACTAACACATTCTTTGATATTTCTCAAAAAATACCTAGAGAATTAGTTTATATATTTTAAAGTTTTTAGATCGTGCAATGTTTCATACATATCAATGAAGTTTAAAGCTTTTTGAGGTTTGAGGGACCGACAATAAATCACAACCCGAAAAAAATGTTTTTCAACACCCTATACCATAAAATGTTGCAACAAATTTATACCTTATAAGTATTATTTTAGTTATTACATGCAATAATAGTGCAAAATTTCGTAAATCTAGCTTAAATATTTATAGAGATATTTTTATAAAAAACAAATTTTTTTGTCTCACATTTTTAACTGGTATTGTTTGTCATTTCGTTCTAGTTTGAAGTTTAATGAATTTGAAATACATGATTAGAGTTTATGTTTAATAAGAGTAAAAACTTGCTATACCGTCTCTGAATTATGATAGTGGTGCTGCGTTATTATATAGCTGCAGAATATAGCATACAATGTTGGTTTGCTTAACACTAATCATACCATAACGGGTCAAAAGACCCGTTTTTGTATGTTGTTTTGTATTGTATTGAAAAGTGTTGGTATGTTTAGTGTTAAGCAGTGTTGAGCCGCTGCGGCTCAGGAGATAGAGCTTTCGCTTCTCAATGAGATGACCCAGGTTGGATTCCCAGAGGTGGCTGGGTGAGACACATTCTGCTCTGATCTCGAACCGACTACAGTGCTGACATGAAATAACGTTAGTGGTAGACGGATCATGGGTTAAAATCTCTTTGCGGTTGTCGAACCGTTGGTTTTTTGTGGTTTTCCTCTTAATGTAAAGTAAATATGAGTAAGCTTCGTCAAAAAGTTCTACACGAAGATTTTGTACCGATGCTTGATCCGGGAGGTACCTTGTCTTCTAGAATGTGTTCATAATTATAAGATTACGAAGTTGAACATTTATTGTCGAAAAATCCATAAATGGGCAGATTGTTCAATGCTGGTTATAAAGTAAAATAACAGTGTTTGTTTGATAGAGTGTATTTTCTCGATTACAAATGTTGAACATTTCAAAGTCACAAGATTTTAAAAATCAACACTGATAATCTTTGTGCTATCTGCTTCTTGACATATGAAAAAATAACCTTTAAAATAAACCGTTAAATTTCTTTGATTGTATTCTAGTGAGGAATCAAAGTAAAGCATGAATGAAAATTCTTACATGAATTAACTACTTAAGGAACTTTGTCTAATCTGCTGTACTAAATCATTACTTTCGAAGATAAAATTTTCTCCAATAATTTATGATATGCATAAAACCTTACAAGACTTTTACCGAACTCTTGATTCGATACCTTGTCTTTTGATGGATAAAGTAGAAACTTTAGAAGAAATTAATTTCTCTGAAGTATTCTCTTTGTGTAGACTATTGCTTTCTTAGATGACTACCAAAGAGCCAATTAGTCATTTCATTCATTTTGTAGCCCTGCTATTGGCAAGAGGCGGTCGAAGAAACGAAGTGACAGGTCAATTATTTACTGCTCCTTACTTCAAGTAAAAATTTTTTTCTTTTCTTAATAAATCTTCGTTCAATAAATATAATATTTAATCAGAAACGACAAACAAAGTTAAAAAAAAGTATTATACCAATCTTAACAAAGTAATACATCACTTTGATAAGAATTTGGTAACTAGCAGAAAAATTGGTAATCAAGCAAATTTTGTCCTATATTAATATGTAAGTAAAAATACCCATGCATTCTTCATGGGTGAAAATTGCATTAAAATAATAAGCTGGTTCAAGGGGATGCAATTTTAAATAAATAACTTTCGTCAAGTTACATGTTTTAACTCGAAAATAAGACACAGAAGGGAACTTAATGTCACAAAAAGTGAATATAATTTTCAAACAAGACAAGTATGTTTGATATATTTATTATATCTTCTGAAAAGAAATATGCAGAATATGAATGAACATAAATTATGACCACCTTGGGCTTGCTTAGTAGGTCATGTCACTCTTCTTTCATTTAAGATGCTTAACATTTGCTGTGTGGTGATATCGAAGGAAATATTAGGATTTTTTTAAACTTTTTCTAAATCAAATGACTAAATATCGGTCGCTATATTGGAATGACGGAACAAGCATTCTTATGGACATTAAAATAACATTGCGTCCGTGGAATAGCGAACGGAACTTTAGGCACGGGCGTTATAATGGAAGAGTTGCTGTATTGGGGTCGTACTAAACTGCGAAGAATGCATGCACAAAAAATTAATGCAATAATCAAAGTCGGGAAAAACGTTTAACAAAGTTTTTGCTACTACATCAAATATAAATATTTAGATTGTAAAAAACAATGATTAAAGGTGTTTTCTTCTTTCATCTTAATCTTTTCAGAAAAATTCTATACATTTTCTTCGTTGAAAAATAAATCTGACTCTAATATTAGATTAAAAAAAATCCAAAAATTTACGCAACTCAAAAAACTTTCCAATTTTTCTTTTAAGATTTATTTTTTATTTTTTCAAATTGATTAAAGGATAATGTAATTTAAAACAACCAAATAAATAGTTTATTATAATTAACATGAATACTGAATGTATATTAAACAAAAATAATTTCAATTTCGCATTTAAAAAAAATAGTTATAGTTATTTATTAAGTTTTGTTACCTTGCATACATTTTGAATTTTCTTATGCCAATTGTAGTTATTCAAATATTTTAGAAATTTCGTGAGAAATACGTAATACGTTTGCCTATTAATAAAAAAAATTTTTTCTGCGAATATTGTTAAGCTTTTTAAATTTAAATAATTTTTAAGCAGTAAAACATAGTCTTGCATGTTGAATAATAATCATTTATTGCATTGATGTACATCAATGATTCAATAGGGATGGAAGAAAATAAAATAATTCTCAGAAATAAGAATAGCGGACGTACTGCTAATTAAAAAAATATTAATTTATATTAATTTTTTTCCATCTGAAAAATAAATTTTTTAAAATTTATTTGCTCATTATTCGTTTTTAACTACACAGCCTGAATTTAATTTCGTTATAAAACTTCAATATTTTAAAATTATCTGTTTATTAATTGACTGCTTTTATTATATAACCAATTTTATTTACTGATAAATAATCAAATTAATAAATGAAATATTTAAAATTTATAATTTTAGGTAATCTTAGTTTTAAGGTGTTTTCTAGATTAAAAATAAATTAAACTTCTTCAAATCTGGTTTATAAGCAGTTAAAATTTTCCTAAACGCAACAGCAAGGATTTAACAAAAATACAGCAACTCCCACATTTATGTGGATATTCGTTTCCCTGCCTGAGCACTTGTAGCAACATGTAAACACATCTACAGCGGCATATTCTCTGTTCACGTGGTTGGTTCTTCAACTATTGATCGAGTTCAAGCATTGTTGTTTGTTAAAAACAATATTAATATTTTTTGGAGAGGAAAAACTTTTATCTTTATTTAATAAAATGTTTTATAATTGAGAAATTTGTCTTTTCAGAACTTAATTGCAACATACCTAGATAAACTTAATAACTACATTATATTAGCTTATGCATTTTTTTTCGCACAAAGAAATGAATAAACCTTGCACTGCATATAAATAATGATAAAACAACGTATAAAATACACTTTCCAACTATAGTTTTATTCATGTTTTAGCTAATCCAACTGCAATTGGATTACTATTGAAAGAACTTGGTGGTATTTCAGGTTAATTAACTGCATGTTAAATTGGATTCGGTTGTTAGTGTGTTCCTCTGAAATTAAAATTTAAAAAAATATTTTTGATGCAAAATATTAAAAGAAAAAAAAATGAAGAACAAAATATGCGAATTTTATCTGTAATACAAAAGGCAAAATTTCAAAATATTCTTTTATAAATGTACGAATAGTTTTGGCAAATTACACGAGATTAATTTCCAAGCAGTTTGACAGCTTCAAAAATAACTATAAATTTTTTTTATTGATTTGAATTGCAATTCTAGTCACTAAATGTAGTTGAAAATAACGATTATAACTATTTGACAAGAAAGGCGTTACTTGGATAATGTTCATGATTTTAGATATTTGTACAATTCTACTTAATGACAGAAGTGATAATTGTTTTTAATGTTATCTCTAAATTGCCGTTTTTGAAACTATAAAAAAAGCAAACTAAGCGACGCCCAAGCAACTAATAAATAGTTAAAAAAGCATAGTCCTACTGAATTTCTTTTATTCCTGCTTTTATTCTTTTAAACGGCATTAGGTTAATTTGATGCATAATTTTGATATAATTGCATATTTTTGTTTAATTTAGCTATACTAGTCACATTATTTTTGTATGACGGGATTTTATTGCATTTTTGACCAAACGGAATTTGCAAAAATGGGAAATTAATTTGCCATAATTTATAATGCATGTTTCAATTTATCTACATAATTTTAAGAGAAAATAAACCATTTTCATACATTTATAAATATTAGATTAATTATGCTGTTTCGTGAGAAACTTTTTTCTGTGTGTATCTATTAATTATAATATATAAAAAACTATATGAATTATGCATAATTTTTTTCTTTATCTTAAGCAATTTAATTCTCTTTTAAAAATATCTTACATTTCTCTTTCAATTACTAGAAATAATTATGTTAACTTTAGTATCTGAGCCTTGATGGTTCAGGGGATAGAGCGTTCACCTTCCGATGAGATGAACCGGGTTCGAATCCAGTGATGGCTGGTCGATACGAATCCGCATCCGGCTTGCACCGACCACAGTGCTGACGTGAAATATTCTCAGTGTTAGACGGATCATAGGTTGGAGTCCCATAGCCGTTAAGCTAACCGTGGGAAGTTTCCGTGGTCTTCCTTTTCATGTAACGCAAATGCGGGTTAGTTCAATCAAAAAGTCTTCCACGAAAGCAAATTTTTCCCAATACTTGATCCAGGAGTTCCCTTGTCTTCCGGATCGGGTTCAAAATTATAAGATTACGGGGTTGAAAATTAGCAGTCGTGAACCCAAAAATTTGGACGGCTGTTCAATGACGGTTGTAAAAAAAAAACAAAGAAACATTAGTATCTGATTGCAATTTCTCTGTAAAGTAGCTACGCATATGCAATATCTATGCATTGGCGTGATTAAGTCTCCAACTAATATGTATTAACTCTTCCAGCCTTTTGGCTGTTTACAAATATTAATTTTAAAAAAGTGCATAAATCTTTTAAAAGTTGCTTATAAAAACTGCACAATGTGAAAAAGCAAATGATTTTTATTTATTTTTTATTTTAATTAAAATAACAATGTAGAGTGTTTTATAAGGGGCTTATAGTGGCCGGCGACATCCATGTAAATACGTGCTAATTTGTTCTGGAAATATAGGAAAATTAACTTATTCGTTAAAAATAGTGTGCATTCCTTTAACATAACTAAAATCTACAGTATATGAATAATAATGTGTAATATAATATTTAATTTTTAAACAATTTCTCATTTCTCTTTTATACCTGAGTTAGTGTAAATAATAGCTTCTCAATGCAAATTTTTTATAAAAGTTATTTTATACAATATGCATAAATCCATGCTAATTTGTTCCTTAAAGATATGCGAATTAAATTTATTCATAAAAATAACGCACATTCCTGTAGCACAAACGAACATTTCTCGGAATATTGACTAATGATCGTAAATTAATTTCAATATCTGCACCATCCTTTTGTGTTGAGGGGTGTTACACAGGTAGGCGATTACGTAATGTGCCTACATTTTTCTACCTGCTCTCCCTGGGTTAAAACCTCTTGCGGACAGATGGTGATTCTGTGATGACGTCAGCATATTGACGTCACCTTGTCTGTCGTGGCCGATACAAATACAAGTGAACCAATGGGAATGTCCACGCTGCTTCCAGAATCAATATCATGCCATGTGACTCAATAGCACCAATGGCAGTAGAGCGCTATCCTCTGCGTATCTAGGAGACAGAGCTCAACCCCACAGAATGGTTTTTGTTGGAGCACCTCTAAGCTGAGATTTCTCGCTTCTCAATTTAAAAGGACAGGGACCCATGTGACCGAAAAAGGAGATGGAAGGAACCCCGTGTAGGAGAACACATGAAAGAGGGCTTCGGGCCCCCTTACCTGTATGGGGTCACCTGCCACAACGGTCACTCATTTTAGCTTTGTTATCTCTTCTAGCTCTAATTCTTCCAACTAGACCCACAGTTAGTGTAGATGAACTAGAAATAGCTGCACAGGAGTAAGTAAATTCAATATTTTTTCTTCAAAATGCATGCTTATTTGCACCTTTTTGCATTCATTCTCTTTTTCGATAGTGTAAATATCACTGAAAATGAAACTGTTTTATCGTGTATGCTGGAACATATTGTTTCGCAATATTGTTTACAATCTTGTTTACTATTTGCTTATGATCGAGATTATGGTATTTAAGTTTATTAACTCTAGATACGGATCCACAATTTGCTTAACTTAATTTTGATATAAGAATTAAAGATATCATGCAATAAAATACAAATAAATTAAAAATTTATTT